CCACACACACACACACGAGAGAGGTTCAATTCCACTGGTGATCCATCACTAAGTAGGAGTTTGGTACAAGACAAAATACCAGTTTTTCAAGACCATTTGGAGACTGCTCTCCACATCTGGGGGTTTTAATGCATTTTTGGCACATCTGGGATGCCTGAAAAGTGTGGGTTACAGGAAATGGGCATGCACAGCCATCAAAGCTGCCCAACCTCTGATGTAGGGACTGGTTACAATTCACCTCTCCTAACATTCTCTAATGAACTTAGTGGGCACTATCAGTGAAAAATAAGGAGGAATCTTGCATCCTTGCAAGTGTGGGTGCTTCATGTTTAAGAGACAATCCCCAGGTCTTCACTTACTACAGTACTGTCATTTTTGTTGTTATCAAGCACTTTCAAGCCACTTCCAGCTTAGAGCAACATTCATTCAAACCTTTATTGCATAATCAACAGATCATTGCAAGTTTAGGACAACACTGAAAAGGAATTTGAAACAGGCGAGATGTTTAAGGAATAATTTACACATTGCCGACTCCTCGCAGTTCAGGCTTTCAGAACAGTGCACCAGGCAGGTACTAACCACAGCCAGAACTGCTTGGCTTCAGCTAAGTAGTTAAATCATGTGCCTTGCGACCCTTTCCAGGCTTGATCACTTTGTGTGGCCTGTACATATTGTGTCTAAATTTTATAGCTTGTGTATTTTTTGTCACAAGAATAGTCAGAAGGCAGACGGTGCTTTCTTTTCCATGATTCAGTGCCAGCATGTCTAAATAGGTCATAATACACCACAATTTCCTGGGTCATCTCCAATTAAAAGGAATGGGGTCGTTTGCTTGTGCTGAGTGACAGCTACCCTTCAGTGATGGAGGAAATTAGCCTAGGGATTGAAACTCAAACTATATAATGAGCCAAATCACATGGCACAATTCTCCCAGAGAGAGCCATTGCAGACTGCATGTATGAATGTTCCATGATGATTGTTTTATGCAATTTATGAAGCAGCTTAGCTCCTTTGGCTGTTAGATTTTACACATTTTTCCCCAACAAGGGGAATAAAATAAGCTCAGCTAGACTAAAGGTGAAGGTTTCTTTAGAAGAAGACAATGTGTTGTGGCTGAGCTTTGGAAAAGCTATAGACCAAAACTGATTGTGAAACATGATGGACTGCAGCTAAAGAATTATCACAAGCATGCACACATGCATAGTATTCCTATGTGGTGCAGAAACCCTCCAGCTGTTGTTCAACTGCAATTCCTACTTCACCAGCATGGCTTATGGTGAGGAATGACAGGGATTCCAACCTCTGTTGCAGGGCTACATGTTGCTCACTGCATACATCAACTGTTCAAAGAAGACTTAAAATGAGATCAGGTTCCACACAATTAAATTAAATGTCATTCTGAATAAACCTGCTCATAGAATAGGGAGAGCTGGAAAGGTCACTGAGCCGGAACCCTTTTTATTGCAGGAAATCAACAGCTAAAGCATGCTTGACAGATGGCCATCCAAACGCTCTTTAAAAGCCTCCAAGTGACAGAGAGTCCTCTACTTTCCAAAGCAGTTAATTCCATCGTCAAATATTGCTTACACTGTCAGGAAGTTCTTCCTAGCATTTATTCAAAATTTTCTTTCTTGCAATTTGAATCCAGGTCCTACACTTTTGAGGCATTCTGCATAGCTGCTATTCTAGTGCCTCTCTTCTGCAAGCTAAACATACCCAACACATTCAACTATTCTTCACAAGACTTGTTTTCCAGTTCTTTAACATCTTGATCAGCCTGTGTCCACAGAAGCAGAGTTGCTTAAAATGCAGTTCCATTTAAAGTGCCTTTAGTTCAAAGGAACTATTCTTCCCAATTACTTCCATAGCTTATCTTGCTTGACAAGAAGGGAGAATGGTTGGAAAAAAAAGAACAGGACTGGGGGAGAGCAATCCATCTCTCTTTCTCCCTTGCTTTTTGCCCCTTCCTCTATACACACCACTTCCTGCTCTCTTTTTTCCTTCTGCTCTTTCTCCCCTCCTCTTCTACAGATGAGCAGAAAGGGTCCTATCAAATCTTTCTGGCCAGAAAAAGTTGTAGCCTCTTCCTAAGAGAGACAAAAGCCAGTCTGCAGGTGGAAAGAACTGGATTGATTCAATTTAGTCTTTGCGTCATGCAGGGAGGAAAAATTACTGCGATATCACTTGTTTTATAAACACAAGAAATCACAAAGTATTTTTTTGTGTGTAGGTGCGGTCCAAGAAGACTAAAATCATGACTAAAAAAGAACTACACAACTTTAATGTTGACAATTAAGAAACTGAAATTGTTAAAAGACTTTGTATACCTTGTTTCAATCAACAATTCAAATGAAGACTGCATCCAAGAAATCAGAAATCTGAGACTTGGAAGGGACCCAATGAAGGAATTAGAAAAGATGATCAAATTTAAGAATGTATCACTGGAAAGCAAGGCCAAAATAATCCATGCTATTTTATTCATAATTATTATATATGGGTGTTAAAGTTGTACAGTGACAAAAACTGACAGAAAAAAATGATTTGAAATATGGTACTAGGTGAGAGCTTTGCAAATACTCACTGGAAAATGCGGAAGGCAGCAGGAAAAGAGGAAGACCAAATATGAGATGAATTGAGGAAGCACAGCTTTGATTTACAGCAGCTGAGTAGGGCTGTTCTGGATAGGAAATTTTGCAGGTCACTCATTCATAGGGTTATAGGCAAGTTGGAAGTGACTTGGCAATATAGAACCACAACAGTAGATATGATCCAATAGCTGATTCAAGCCTCTTGCTAGAGAGACAAGATGATATGCACATGTTCAGAGACATTGTGCTCTTCATTATTTCTCCATCACATCCTTCAGGGCTAAACCCTGGGCAGCAGAAATCAGATTCTAGGTCAACTCTGATGATCGTTAAAGCACCTCTTGCAAGCTTGGCTGGAAGTGCACATTACAGAATAGCTGTAGCTTCTCTTTACCACTCTTTGTTGTAGCACACTGGAATGATTTTACAAAAACCAATCAGACTTTCAAATGAAACTGGGAGTATGAGGGCATTAACATTCAAAATGAAAGCAACCATGTTAAAAAAAAACCAAAAACCCAAATGTAAAACTGATTTAACGTCAAGACTTCCAATGTTACTTGAAGAAGCAGGCGGCAAAGTTCCAATTTGTTCCCTAAATCAGTACCTTAGAAGATAGCATTTTTTTAAAAAAAAGTCTGGAGAGTCTGAGGGTAGAAGGATGCTCAAAATAAAGCACAGAAGGGAGAAGCCTTAATTATGTCTTGCATGAGCTGTCAGGATTCTGCAGCTGCAACAGGGAAAGACAAAAGGAGGGTAAGTCCATCTTATGCTTGTTTTTTTTTTTTTAAGTGCAAATTGCTGTTTGAGTGGGGGAGGATGGATGACATACTTCAGATGGTAAGCCGCTTAGCAAGCCTGAATTAATATGCCAAGATGCTGAAAAGGAGGGATAATTTTAATTCACCCAATTCTCTCTCATCTCAGTCACTGTAACGCATTTCCTTCTGATCCCAGTTGCTGGTCTCCAACCTTTTATTACTATTTTGCATTACACTGTTCATTTGGTTTACTGTGCAGCGGCTCATGTCTTCTGTCTTCACTGCCCTCTTTCTTCAGAAAACAAAGAGTACAGAAAGCTATCTTAAAAGAGTCAGGCCACTAGCCTGTCCTTATCAGCCTTGTCTGCACTGAATGCCAACAGCTCCCCAGGGTTTTGGTAGGAAATGTCCCCATCCCTATCCAGAGACACCATTGATAGAACATGGGACTTTTTTTTTTTAAAGGATGCACCCCCAATATTGAACTACAGTCCTTTCTCCCCAACAAAAGTGTCCATGTAAGTGTCTATCTGTTGATTTCCTTTCTCAATGGTTCTCCCAAAGAGGGGGAAAAACCCAAAAAAAGCAGGAGTAGGTGATAACTTTATTGGATCACTAAGGAAATCAAGCAGATCACTATGGTTTGATGATAATTTATCTTTATTAAGTTGTGTACTAAGATAAAGTCCCAGTTTCATGGCACGGTTGTTTATACCAAGCAAGTTATCTTAAGGCAAATTGAGCAGTGAGCAAATGGCTTCTGGGGGTGGAGTAGAAACTCTCTCCAAATGTTTTAGACATTTTAGAATTTGTCATCTGTCTCTTTAAAGTTCCCTAGTAAAATGTTTGGGATTATATCTCCCATCATTTCTGATTACTGTTGGCAAGGGCTTGTAATAGATGCAGTCCAAAACATTTGGAGAGGGGCACCATACTGGGGAAAGCTGCTTTCTGGTTATTATTACCTTCTCTTCAGCTTAATTTCCATTACTCGTTTCATCTTTTTCTTTCCTGTCTTTCCCCCCAGCTTTAGTGTTCTCACAGCTCCTTCTCTGCATTTGTTCAAAGAGCACCCGTATTTTTTTATCAGACTTTTTGTTCTCAACGTGTTAATTTTCTCCTCCCTGCTATGTATTTCTTGCCTCACTTTAGCTATGAATGGCTTTCAAAGGGGTGAGCAATTGGAGTCCCTCCAGAAGTTGTTGGCACAACAATTCTCATCATTTTTTTTTACCTTTGGCTGTGGTGGGGGCTGATGGGAATGGAATTCCAGTAATATCAGAAAGACCATAGGCTGCCTGTTCTTTTAGAAGCTGTGATCTTATAGACAAAGTCTTTCTGCTTTTACCTCTATTTTACCACATCTGGATGGAAGTATTAGGGAACTCACATTACGATGCACATGTTCTCAGCCTACAAAGCATTCATGTTGCATCTTTAAAGAAGGAACATTTCCTTCTCCTCAACCCAGCACAGTTTGGTGTGTGGACTATTTTTCATAGGTTTGTTCATACAGAAGGATGATGGAAAACAAATCTGCTTTGGATAACAACTTAAGACCAGTACAGTCCCTATATTGTAGTATGCCTTTAGTTATAGTGCCACTGTGATTACCAGCTACAAGTAACACAAAGGACTTATTTAGGGGCTATGACATTTATTCACCACTGTGAATAGGAAGTTAGCTGTCCATGTAACCCTACCTACCATGGTGCAGGTAGGTATTTATCATCATTTGGTGCCCCAGGTTATGATACAGACATTATCTGAAGGCATATGAAAAAGGATTTGCACCCATTTTTCAGAAACAAGCGGTGTGTCAGCAGATACAAAGGTATTTCTATATTCCCTCATACATACCATAGGGTAGGCAATGGAGTGCAGAGAAGAGCATGAGATTAGGACAAGAGAGGTTGATCGTGTTGTTAGACAACCAACATGGGAAACAAGGTTGGCTAGCTGTCAGGAGGGTGAACAGCAAACCATGTAGCTCTCTTTGTGTCCTCCGAACAAGCCTGCGTCCTTCGGGTAAAATGGAAGTCGCTTCTCCATTACCAATATCAAAGTAAGATGGAGCTATCTTTCTAACAGTTTGTGTCCATGAAAAAAGAGGCTGAATCACCCTGTCATTTGTCTGAGGTAGCGGAGCAGATTTAGTCAGCCCCGACCAGACTGCCCCAAATTGTTTCTTTGCTGAGCCGTTTTTTAAAAATTAAACCACTGTGGCCTTGAACTGGTTGCATCCTCTCAGCATAACCTGGGCCACAAGGTTGTCTGAGCACAAAATGGAAGAACAGTAGTACACTATATGAAGGAAGGAAAAAGTAGAATTAAGGTGTACAGTTCTTGTGTGAATTTAAATTTTCTTTCTTGTGATATGTTTTTAAATAGTAAGGCTCACTACATAGTAAATTAATGAATGCTTGGAAGTCCATCATTCTAGACACGAGGCATTTGTACCTATTTTCTAGATTTCTTTGTGCTTCTTCGCTGTGACCTTTAGATGCTCTTTTCATATCTGTCCCAAACCATATTGATTTTACTTTTGAGCCTTGCGATTCTGTTATGAGAATCCAGTCTTCAAACAAGTTATGAAAAAAAAGAGAACGGCCAAAGCATGGTCAAAAGATGTATGAAATAATTTTGCTGCTGCTGCTGCTTTACTGAACCTGGTAAGAAAGGAAGTAGGATAAATTGTTGTGGGGATTTTTAGTATAGCTGTCCCACTAATGTTCAGTCTTCAACAAGAAAGAATATCTTAACAGAAAGGTAAGAGGAACAAGAGATCAAAGCCTACACCTTTTCTTGTAACACAGACCCATCATTACAACAAACTATAATCTAAAGAAACAGAGTAGTAGTATAACTCTAACATTGAGGTCTTCAAGATGGGGGGAAAATGTGCTGGAAGTATACTCAATTCCACACTGTTGTTTCCAGTATTTTCCCCACCATCCAGATGACAGAGGGCTTGTTAGCAATATGGCCAGTGCCTTCTTCCGTGGGATTTTTTGTTCTGGTGGGGTGAGGTTTAGTGTTCATAAGGCTTTCAATGGGAAGTTATTTCTGTAGCAGAATCTCTTTCTTTGGAGGCTTTCAGTTAGTTCACAAATAGGTTAAGAGCAAGAAACAGCTCTAGAAGCCCAGTCCCAGGAGGAAAGTGGATTTCGAAAATGATTTCAAAGATTTCCAGACGAGAAGCAGTTTTTGAGGCTGTGTTGTTTTCCTGAGTAGTTTCGGCATGAACCCTGATACACCTCAGCTTCCTTCACACAACTGAGACAGAACTTTTGCCCCATCTGGAAAGCCCACTGTCTCTGCTGCTTCAACACCAGAGCCCCATGGGCCAGGTCACAGTTTTCAGGCAGGGTTTTATACAAAATGACCTGGACTTCATTGCATTAAACAGGACTAGGGACATGAGTAGCATAGATTCAGAAGCTGACTGTACAGAGAAGCATTCTTTTGCATAAGCTGCATCCTGCGTGTCTCTGCAACAATGCACAGATAAGTGGTGCATATATGTCTCTCTAGATCAGGAATAAGCAAAGTGCACCCAGTTTTCATGGAGCGGGGAGGTAACTGTTAAAAATGAAACTGCAACCGGACAGCAAATCTGACTTTTCTATTCCAACTGCTGGATTTGATGCTGGTTCAGGTAACGGAACAGTTGCCTATAGCCTTATTTCAAAGACAAGTTGCCTCCAGAAAGGTAGCAGAAGGGACAGTGTTGCTCATGGCAAACAGAGATAAATATTTCAGGAATAGCATGAGGAAGAAATTACAAAGCAGGCAGGAGGATGGGATTTAGTTATCATTACAGCTAACAGCTATGTTACTTTCTATTTTGGACTGAATACAGCAGTATTCCTGCTCCAGTAAGAGGTTTTAAATTACTTGTTAGCATACTGTGAGCTATAAATCAGCTTATGACAGACAAAGAATTTGTGGACGACTAGACACCTATGGGATACAGCCAGAAAAGAAGCAAGATGCAAAAAGTGTAGCAGCCCTCATGATTCTGGGTCACAGCAATTTAGATGGGATGCCTGTCCCCACCAAAAGGGCGAGGGGACAACACATCACACAGGCCTAGGACAAAGGAATTTGTTACACACGTACACTGGGATCACAGGATAGTTGGCTGTATAGCAGACAAGGGGAAGAACAAGGAAACCTTACAGGAATCTACAGTATTTGGAGATATAACCGTGACCTTTCTCAAGGAAGTGCTTCCCCTTCACTCTGGCAAAAGCTGTAAGAGCAAGACAGTAAAATTTCAAGGTGGTAACGATTGCGAGGACTGACAGCCTGTTGAGGGCTGTCAAGAACCCTGTTGATATTAAAAGGGTTTTCTTTGAAATCCTGGCAAAATAAAAGAGGATAAAAGTCCACCAAGTGGGGAATTCCCCTTTACTCTGCCCCGGCTTGAACAAGAACAATCTCAAGTCTTCCTATACCCTACATCCCCACCATCAGATGCTGGCAGGAGTGAACTGATCATTCTTGTTTCCAGTTCTCCTTCTGAAAGACTAGTTCCACAGCATCATTGACATCATGCACGACATGAGAAGCCTCCACCAAGCTCGGATCAAAATGGAAGTCCCGGTGGCCATGGAATACAGTCTCCAACATACTCTTGTTGCAGTCTGTAGGAACATCTCCATAAGGACTGTAGACTCCAGTGCAGACCAAGATAGACTGACAGCTCTCAGCAGAGCAGACATTGTGGTTTCTCTGTTCCTTGCTCTCTGCTGCCATGGTGGTTACGCTAACTTTAGCCTGAGTCTGGAGGTAGCGGTTGTAGAGGTTTGCACCGTAAACATCAGCCATCGGGTTGTCCCTGTGGTATACAGCCAACAGACCAAAGGAGAAGGAAGAAGAGCAGTAAAAATTCTGGCAGGATATAAAATATTAATCATGTGCCCTCAAGTCAATTCTGACTTATGTCAACCCTTTTCAGGGTCTTCCAGGTACAGAGCATCAGAAAAGGTTTACCATCCCCTTCTTGTTGGAGCATCTTGGGACTGTGCGGCCTGCCCAAGACCACACAGGCTAGCTGTAGTCACTGGGGACACGGTGGGGAACTGAATTCCCAACCTCTGGGTCCACAGCCAGATACCAAGACCACTAAACTATCCAGTGGCACTTAAATGTTGGCAATTGCAAATCATTAGACCAATCCCTCTCGTTTCCAGGAATATCCATGCACCATTCTAATCGGACAAGAAAACAAAATAAAACAAAAAAAACCTGCTATATTTTAATGTGAGCCTTCATGCATCAGCCATATATGCTACTGCCTATAAAGCAAGAGATACTGCTCCTGAACTTCCCCTTACAAGGGAAAACAGCATGTGATAAAACCCATTTCTTCCTTTGCCTCCTTAGTGCTTAATTTTCTCTGCAGCTTGAGGAGGCAGTTACATACCCAACAGCGTACAGGTGGCGAAGAGGAGACGTCCAGCCCCAGCTCCCCATCTGCTGCTCGATCACATGCTCAGCATAGCGGTAGGTAACTGTGCTGGGTTTGCCTATCAGCGCTTCATATTTTAATTCCTTGCCAGTCATTTTCTTGTAGATATTCTCCAAGCACACCAGAAAAGTGCCATGACCAAATCTGGAGAGGAGAAGAACAGACGTGCTTTATGAATCATGGCAAGTTGTCATACTTCATGCAGTAATACTGGCAATAAAGTCACCCTTACCAAACCATAAAGGTGGAGAATTTTTCAAGTATTGCAATACAGACGTGACTGATTTTAAAATATTCTGTGTTTGCTGCTACATTATCCCTTGTTACTTATTTGTTCCGGAAGCCCCACTTTGGAGTAGCTACTTCTAGTTTCTCTGTTTAAGGGCACAGTCAATCAGTCTGCATCCAAAATCTTAAAGAGGTCAGTGATTAAAAGTTCCCTCCTTGGAATCTTTTTACAATTTTTGTGACTTACTGTACTTCACAGTTATATGCTGTGTTTTGAATTTCAATACTATAATTTTTAAATTCTCCTTTGATTAAATTGATCTGACTTTTGGCAGGTGTTGGATACTGAATACAGAACTTGATTAAATTTGGTCTACCTAAAGCACTGGTTCTTAACCTTGGGTTACTCAGGAGTTTCGGACTGCAACTCCCAGAAGCCTTCACCACCAGCTGTCCTGACTGGGGTTTCTGGGAGTTGCAGTTCAAAAGCATCCAAGTAACAAAGGTTAAGAACCACTGACCTAAAGCATACAAAAAATATTCCTGCAATATTCATCACACTGGGTGATGGAGTCTTCTGGCTCATTTAAGAAAATTGAGAAAGGAGCATATTCTCCAAAATGTTTTGTGTGAATGGCTCAGATGCAAGAAGGTCAGAGAACATTAGCAAGAGATCTCTGTAGGACACAGGTGGACAGTCTGTGGCTTTCCAGATGTTGCTGAATTACGACTCCTACCATCTCTCACCACTGGCTATTCTGGTTGGGACTGGTGGAAGTTACAGTCCCAGCACAATCTGGTGTGCCCCAACTTGTCCACTCCAGTGTAAGACATTCATACTACCTTGGCATCTTGGCTTCTGCCATCCATAAGAGATCCATGTTGCAAGCCAGAATAGGCAGATGTGGGTATGGCACAGTAGCCAATTGTACCCCTGGATTCCCATTACTCAGAAGTATGTCAATAATCAGCTGCAAACAGGTCTCCCATCGGACAGGCTCCCCCAGCAGAATTATCCCTAGACAGTGAGAAAGGCAGGGAATTTTAAACACAACAATATATGATGGTACATCATACAACATAATAACCCTGCCAACAGTATGCTTCTCTCTGACAAAACACAAGTATGCTGCACCCATCCATAAGAAGGCTCCAGTTCCATTCTACCACACCTAATAATTTGATTAACACGTTCAGGTTAGTTTCTTCACTATAAAAGCAAAGCAAAAGCAATGCATGGTATTTCACTAGTTCTAGCGGTATTTCACTGGTTCAAGTCCAGAAAACCAAGCAAGAATATAAATTAACCCACATGTGAAAAATTCAGCAAATGGCAAGGGGACAGGTGTGTTTTTTGGTTTGTTTGCTAGATATTCCTATGGAGGACCCATGCAGAACCATTAAAATTTCTCCATACTTTCTAACCATGTGGCCCAAAGAGTTTAAGCTCATAATTCCAAGAGACTACAAACCTCTTCCTGCCTCACCCACAAAAGCACTGGATACATGGAACAGCATAATATGTTCTTCATAATAGTACAATGGATAGTGAATGCAGAAAACTGCTGATAACTCTTATCTGTGTATTTCTGTACTTATTTCCACAGCACTTTGTCTCAGCTAGAGGCTGCAGCTGTCCTCTTATCCAAGGAGGAAAGTAGGGAGTTTTATAACATTTTGCAGACTCAGATTCTTTGGTAATAGTAATAATCAACAGTTGGACTCTTCTCAGAGAAAATGAAATAAAACTTTGTAGCCAACAAAACAACTCTTGCACAGGCATCACTGCCAGATCAGGGTTCGGTCACTGCGATCATGTCTGTTACTGCTTCGTCATCTTGGCAGAGACCAATCCTCTCCTTCGTTTCCTTTAATATTCACTCCCACCATGCACTCAAATTTGTACCATTCACTGTACATTTCTTTACAGAGCATGCCTCTCTCAGTTCTCTCAGACCTAACCAGAGCTGGGATAAAACCCAGAAACGGAAACCCAAGTTATGTTTTGTTTTAGAATCAAGAGTGCCAACTTGAGACTACTGTGATTCAGGAAGATAAAGACGAATCAGTCCTAAGTTAGTTTGAAGCATGGTCCTTATAGCTAAATCATAGCATTCCTACAAAACAGGGGCAAGGCGACCGTCTTTTAATGCACTGGTTCTTAACCTTGGGTTACTCAGGAGTTTTGGACTGCAACTCCCAGAAGCCTTCACCACCAGCTGTGCTGACTGGGGTTTCTGGGAGTTGCAGTTCAAAAGCATCTGAGTAACAAAGGTTAAGAACCACTGTTTTAATGTATTTAGCTTTTAGCCTGTGGAGATTTTCAAGAATGGTCAAAATGGCGAACAGGTGTTCAATGCTTCAAAGCTGCACCTCTTACAGTGGGTGCCTCCCGCAGCAGGTGCTCAGGCGCAGCACCCAGAGGTGGTGGTCCAGGGAAGCCCAGGCACCGCCTCTGAGCTGGCGCCTGCTGGAGGAGGTGGAGCTTTGAAGCGCCAAACATCTCTTCAAGTGCTAAACAAACAGGCACAAACCGGTGAGCCAGGACTTAACATGAGGCAAACAGAATTCTGCACTCTATAATACTAAATGAGGGCACTGACGGGTGCAAAGAAGTGCTTGGAAAGATTCTGGGAGCTGCAGTCCTAAAAACTAAACTGCCCAGGGTTTTAACAACCCTCCTCTGGCCTTCATATTCCAATTTTTTTTCCCAGAAGTGCATTTGGGAACATGCACTGGTTGAGAGAACATTCATTTCACCATGCTATACACACACACACCAAGAAAGCAAACCCTTTAAAAGGTCTGTATTAGGGTTGACTCTACATAGTGCTTAAAAGAATGGGAGAGAGAAACTCTTACCTTCTACAGTGGGGAAGTCAGTGGGCATAGGAGGCTGTCAAAAGGACAAAAGAGAAGCTGGTGTTTTTTGCAATGTCAGTCAAGGGCCAACATTTTCAAAAGCAAATAATGACACCTGGTTCCCAATTTCAAAATCCAAGAAAGTTCACCTTTTTAAAAAGAATAAATAGAGGTCATGGGCAATTTTAAAAGAAATTAATGGGGTAGTTTTCCCCATTAATTTTATGCTGCCTACTTCAAACTTGTACAACTTGATCTTCTGGGTTGCAGAATTTTGGTTTTGAACCCGCAAGAACCCAAAGGCCTCTACATCTTGCATGAAAAACAAAAAAAACCTCAACAGGTAGACTTATATAACCTTTTTCATGAGGGGACTTAGCATGGATAGCATGGAAATGTTTGCTTTGTTGGGAAATAGGAAACACCAGCAAGGTTATAAGAGCTGAAATCAAACAGCAAACTTTTATTCAAACAAAAGACAAAGGGCGCACATACTTTCAGACAACCTTGTGTTGACTAGCTTTGCCAGTTTAATACTTGCCAGTTCTTTTGGCCTTCGGCTTTGATCAACCATGTCCAGCAGAGGAAATGCTTTCCTCACCTCTTCAATGGTAACAACATGCTGGAATCCCAGGCTGTTGCAGGTGGTTAAGGAAGAAAACTGCCTGCCCACCTGCCAACTGTGAGACGCAACAACCACACCATTTAAAATCCACCTCTTTCCTGTCCCTCATAGAAAGACAAAAACAAAGTAAACCATGATTTAAATTAATCCTTTTTTAAAATTTATTTCATGTTTAGTCCATCTTTTTTCCAAGATATTCAAAGGAATGCCCACTGTTTCCCAAACCCATACTTTATCATCACAAACAATCCTGTGAGGTAGGTTAGGATGAGGGGAAAAAATGACTGGCCCAAAGTCATCCTGTGATCTTCAGGTTAAAATGCAGATTTGAATCTGGATCTTCGTAGTTATCCAGTGCTCTAATCATTGCATCTTCCTGGGTCTCACTTATATTACTACTAATAAATTCAGAGTACATTCTATACAGTACAGAGAAACAGATCCATATTCCTTCCAGCTACTGGATACCCTTCCCTCAAAGCCAAACAAATATTTGTGAAGAGGTGGCAGGATTCCCGCAACCAATACCAAACTCAGGTGTAGATAGTCTTCCTCTGATTTGCCTTCGACTTTGAGTTTCCAGTGACAGCTTTAACTCCTTATTGCAGGTTTTTTAAACAAGGCCAAAAGTCAATTAAACTTCCACAGAGCTGATGTCCCACCAGTGTAGTAACGTATGGCCATGCCGTTTGCACAAGCCTTGCCACTGTAAAGCAGAGGACAGCTTCCATGAGCAACTCGCAATGAAAGCAGAAACTTTTAAATTCGCTGCAATCTGCCACTGCTGGAAACATCAGCAGAGCTGTGCAACAAGATATTGACCTATAGCATAATACCCTGTCAACCCACTTATATTTATTCATAGAACTATCCTGATTTACCCTCGCCCAGCCATCAAGTGAGCCTTACAGGATGTGAGTCCAAGCTTTCTCATTCCATTGGAAGTTCTATTCAGTGCACAGCCCTGGCCATCTCAACAGATCACTAGGAAAGCTGGAGGAAAACAAAAAAAGAAAATCTAAAGGCAGCAAAGGATACTCCCTGGCATTTTCTTCCACGGGACCTTGTCCACAGACAAGCACGCACTTCTTGTGGAATTGATGGAAAAGGCGTAGTGGACTATGGGAGAGAATCACCCATTCAGGAGACACCTGAAAAAAAATGTAGATAAGAAAGGTATGCAGCTCAGTCTTCCAGCTGCCAGTCTTCCAACCCGCAAGCCACAATAGATAGCTAATAGATTACCCAGATCAGGACTATCTGCTGGCAATTTCTGACTATTAGAGCTCCCATGAGAACTCTGCATCTCTCTTTTGATCTGCAGTGGGCTCCTTCAAGGACACAAAGCTATCACTTGTAGTTACAGCTATCAAAGGACAAAACAAGAATAGGTAAACAGGTCTGTGAGGCGCAAGGCGAGGGGGGTAGAAGCCCTCGCCAGAGTGTCATTCTCCCTCAGGAAAGAGAAGGAGGCGCAAACAGACCCGCTTGCATCACCCATCGAGACTGTACAACGGGGAGTGGACACCCGTGAGTTAGAACGGGGTTTGGCTAAACTGACTGTAGCCACTCAGATGGAGAGGGAAATGGCGGGAAATGAAGAAAGGGGCAGAACCACTGTGGAGGTGGGAATGGGGGATATAAAAGGGACAAGAGATGACATACCCGGGGGCTGGGAGCTAATATGGGTAGAGGATCCTTGGACTGGTTCCCAGGGAGGAGGCAGGCTATAGAAGAAGAAGGGGTCTGCCTCCCCGACCCTCCTATTCGGGTGAATCAGCGGTGTGTGAGTGGCACCGGAGGCTGAGAGAGGAGAAAGAAGCCGTGGAGAGAGAGAGAGAGAGAGAAGAGCATGGACGCTGGAGGAAGCCTGATGGAGGGGGTTCCTGTTGGACCGTGGGCTCCCTTACGAGGAGGTGAGGACCCTTTCAACCCAGAGGGGAGAGATGAGGAGATCATATTGTTTGTATTGTAATGCTTTTGTGTCATTTTAATTTATTCATGGTGTGTTGTAAGCCGCCCAGAGTGGTAGAATATACCAGATGGGCAAGATATAAATTGAATAAATAAGTAAATAAGGGGGTTCCTGTCGGACCGTGGGCTCCCTTACGAGCAGGTGAGGACCCTTTCAACCCAGAGGGGAGAGATGAGGAGATCATATTGTTTGTATTGTAATGCTTTTGTGTCATTTTAATTTATTCATGGTGTGTTGTAAGCCGCCCAGAGTGGTAGAATATACCAGATGGGCAAGATATAAATTGAATAAATAAGTAAATAAATAAACCATTGTTAGAACCAGAGACTGACCCTCTGGACTTGGATGGCAGTAATCCATTTACCCAGGGACCCCGGAATGATTTGGACTATAACCTGTTTACCAAGGATGTTTGGATGCCCTCGTGGGACCCGTTGGCAGCGAGAGACAATGTTAGAGTTAATCTAGAGAATAAGGATTCGTTGTTTGATGTTCCAATAAAGCCCAGTTTTGTTTTTTCAACCCGAGAGCCTCATACGTCTTGTCAAAAGCAGAAGAGACCCCATTCAAACCCTCACAAGGTCTTGAGAAACAATTAACTGCTATATATTTGGGGCAGATCCCCAAGGATTTCAGAATTATTTTAATACACTACAGCAGTTTTCCCCTTACTATTTTACTTTAACACAACTGAGACGTAATGATAATATAATCAGAACAACCAAAGGTTACACAATGTTGGTTTCTACAATGAGAATTTACTGATGGCTTCTTTCCATAAACTGCAGATTAATGGCAGGGAAGATTAATATGTCAAGTCTTCAACACATGTGCCGTACGTTTATGGCCGTGGGGAAGATTAAATTAAATCAAATTCACAAATTTGGATCCCTCCCTACGCATCCACATTTCACACAGCATTCAGAACAAAGAAAATACTAGCTGGCCACAAAAGCAACTGGCTCTTATCTTTGAAACTACAGCCCATCCAAAAATAATAATAAAGTGTAGTCAAGAAGTTTCTGGCTTAAGGTGACCTCTCCCCGGGTTTCCTAGGATAGAACTGGTTCATCATTCCTTTTCCTCCATGGGTGCTCTGGGCCCACCTATGTAGCCAAAGCCACATGAGTTGACTCTTCTCCTACAAGGTAAAATTTGGGAGTAATGATACATCTCAGGCAAAATGGAATAATGTACAGTGGTGCCCCGCATAGCGAGGTTAATCCGTTTCGGATTAACCTTCGCTATGGGAAAACATCGTTAAGCAGGACGGGGAAACCCATTGGGTTCCAAATGGGCCCAAAACTCACCATTCTCCGATGTTTTCCCATGTCCCGGCGGCCATTTTTGGTGTTCCGGCGGCCATTTTGGGTGTCCCGGCGGCCATTTTGG